GAGTATTTTAGTATTTATTTTGATTAATCTCTTATTGAATCCGTGTTTGTGTGCAATACTCCAGAATTTGGTTGATGTGCGTAAGTCTTACACTAATATAACATAAAGAATATTCTGTAATATATTAATACATTTTATTCAAATGTTTGTCATATTTTTCTACTATTAATATTTCTGGTATTTATTCACTTTGATTGTTACTTACCGTATATAACTAGTGTAAGGTTTGTAAACATAAACTTTGATTTATGCAAATATTTTTATTTAATATAAAAATCTTGAGAAATACCAATTGAGTGAATATCGTACTAGTTGTATTGTGTGGTATATATATAGCACTAGTATACCCTCCACCAATTCTCCCTGATATACGGGAAAGCCTTTGACATTCTTATAAGAAAAATGGATTTCAAGCGAATTCTGTGCTATAAATATAGACAAACCTTCAGGACTTAAGACAATTGAATGGATTAATAAATTAATGTTTTTTGTGTCTTAAGGGGATTTGATTCAACTCAAGATATTCTCGTTTTCTATATAAATGTCAGCGATTTCTAGAAATATTTGTTGAATTATTTACTTATTTCATTGAAACAATGTTTAATTTTAGAAAATCTAAGAAATTCTTATTGAAAAATATCCATATAAATTATATACTGGTATATAAAATGTCATTTTTAAGTATTTTAACCTAATATATTTATTTTATAAAATTACTCTGTAATATTATTTTATTTTTAGCTGTAAATAGGTAACAATTTTATTTTATGATTTATGTATTTATGTTTGAGTTATATATGGTATAATATAAAGTTATAGTGTATAATAGTAGAATATTCTTTTAAATTTATATTTAAAAGTAATAGGATACTTTTACATGTATTAAACTATTAAAGAGTTCCCTATTTTTAGTAATTTAAAATTTATATAAAATTATCATTAAATATAAATTTAACTAAAATTTTTAAAATTCATTTCCTATTATTGTAAACCAATTACCGTAAGTCTAGTCTAACATAAACAACAGACCACTCCAATAATATCCACACATTTATTTCAAATATTATAAAAACAACTCCAATTATACTCATTACTCTATCATATAATATAATAATAATCCTACAAACATTTATAATATAAATATCTCATAGCGTTATTCAATAAGTATTTTTTCGTGAGCGTACGTAAGCACTAGAGACATAAGTGGATAAGTGTGTATACCTTAAGTATTAAATGAGCCCTGGTAGTATAAATGCTATCGAAAAACTATGAAAATACAATTAGTTTACATTTCATTTCATTCGGCATTTCTATTATTTTTTCTGTACATAATAGGCGGCAATCATGGCATACGTGAGGTGAGGCTATTATACACGGAATTACAGCGAGCACCGGGCGATCAAAGCCACTCGTATCATTTGATTAGGGGTCGGCCTATGTTTGCCGAAGTGGAATTCCTGCCGAGTAATACAAAACTGTTTATTAAATGAAAAGCAAATAATTTTATTTATTTGCCAAANGCACCGGGCGATCAAAGCCACTCGTATCATTTGATTAGGGGTCGGCCTATATTTGCCGAAGTGGAATTCCTGCCGAGTAATACAAAACTGTTTATTAAATGAAAAGCAAATAATTTTATTTATTTGCCAAATTCTTATATATAAAATTAAATTCTGGTATTATTCCGATCACTGCCTACCTTTAGGTTACATACCATCCCTGACCCATTACATGGCCGTGTCTGTGATACTGCCCAAACAAATACGTGGTACGGGCTCAGGTGGGCCGTGGGTGTTGGGTTGGCACCAGGAGCAGTTCACTGTACCCGCGTGTAGGCTCTGTACAAACCGTAACCAGTCGTATACCCTGCCGGTCACCATATACCTGCCCGATGATGGCTGGTGTCCACAGGTTTGGCAACAATTTTTGTTTTTATTGAATCCATTAGTTTTAGTGAGTGTTTGGCATTTAGCTATAAAAACGCGAGTTATTTGATAATACAATACAATTGATGAATAAGTGTAGTTCACAAGTATCGGGTACTCATAAACTGGAGTTTCATATTGAATCCATTAGTTTTAGTGAGTGTTTGGCATTTAGCTATAAAAACGCGAGTTATTTGATAATACAATACAATTGATGAATAAGTGTAGTTCACAAGTATCGGGTACTCATAAACTGGAGTTTCCTTATAAAACTGATGTTTGGGTTTATTTGTACGGGTATTAAGTTTTCATGTGATTAGTATGCGATAAATGTTTTATAGCGAAATGTATGATACTATAATATAATCAGTAAATACTGTATTATGTAATGATAATATAATACTTAAATCACTTATATTAATTTGTATATTAATGATATAACAGGATATTAATTTAGATAGTTAGACAAAACACTTAGTGATAATAATATCTTAATAATTAGTTGTATATTTTAGTTTGTTAATAATAGTATTAACATTAATAATCCAATAACAATTATTATGACTAAAATAGATAACATATTAATGTATTGTGAAATTAGGAGCATTTTAGGAGCATGTTATCTAATTATTACATACAATTATTCAGTTTATATTGTACTTGTATAACAAAAATTTAATTGCATTTTCAAACATTACAAACACAACACACATAAAAAAATATACAATTCTTGGCATAATTTCTATAACACTATTCCGTATATAATTCCTATTATAGAGACAATAAAAACAAACAAATAATATACTATACGCACACATTTTAATTAAATATTTTAGTCATATGTATACTATATGTTTGAATCCCACGTTACATAATGTACATTCATTTGGCAATCAAAAGGGTCCGGTGCCTACGGGCTGGAAGGTTGAGGCGCTTCCACAGAATCCAAACGACAGCGACAACACGGATATGATCATTGGCGTCAGTATCGATGAGCGAGCACAAATCATGATAATTAATTCAAACACCAGCGCCCGGTGCAAGAATGTCAACGAATGGATTAATTATACCAGTCCTGTCGTGTTTTGAATGTATATCTAATTTTCTATAGTATGTATGCGTGCTATGTATGCATAGCATTGTACGCTTGAAAATACGGTACAACATATTGACTATTGCTAACAGTTATGATTAAATTCTTTGAATAAAATTTAATTTCTATACTAAAACACAATCTAATCGCCGCGTAAAAGTAAGCTAATTAATTGTACCGGCACTAATTTCTCAGTCACTCCCCCGCATAGATATACTCACAGAATATTCTGAAGCCATACTGTTCTCAGATTTTTTACTTGTTTTTCATTAATTCCCTCAGAAAATAGACTAATTTGAGTTTTGGCTACACTTTTATACACATTATATATGGGAGTAGTGTAGAGATAACAGATTAAATTGTTTCCTAAAATACCATTTAATTTATACGACATATACTGCGAGAAAGCCCTTTGAGTCTAACTTTATATGAACTCCGCTTTCATGTTATCTATTGATTAGTTTAACACAAAAAAGTTTAATATATCCAGAAATAGTGTATTTCCTTTTGTCAACCTATTTCGGTATTTTATGGATTATTATAGAGATTCATAGAAAATAAATCCAATGAATATAAATATTTTTGATCAATCCTTTGCACAATGTATTCGCACCGGGAGTTGATTGTCAGCGCGTTTTTTGTGTGATTGGGTCTAAAAAAGTTTTTAGAAACTTTTATGTTGATTAAATCTACTCTATCTAGTCTACCGGGTTCATACATACAGTAAGTACATCATAATGTGGATAAAAATAACTTAACTAGCACTTTTATTCACTTAAGACCAGAGTAGATCACCTGTAATTGATTGTAAGTACCTGGGCCACCTGACATAAAAAAAACAGTTCACAATAATCATAGCATTTAATGAATGATTTTGTGTCACATTTTGTAAAAATATTTTTAAAT